AGTGCTGCAGAAGAATTGTAAAGGGAGGCCTGAAAAGATTCATTGGCATTTACTTAATGAGGAGGTCTCTGGTTACCATAATGAAAGCAATTTTAGTAGTTTGGCAGAAGCCAGCCTTGTGGATATTACAGAATGAATGGTGGGAGAGGAGTGGACATAGAGTAGAGATGACTCTTGAGAATTCTGGTGAATGAGGATGATGGTAACAGTTAAGAGGGCTTACTATTTGCCAGGCACTGGGCTGACAATTTATACTCATTAACCAAGTTAATCCTTACCACACTCCTGTGAGGTATATACTACTATTATCCCCATTTTCTGCTGAGGAAATTTTAGCCAAGAGAGTGTATACAGGTTAAATAATAAGCCGAAGGTTTATACTACTAATAGTAGATCAAGGATTCAAAATCTAAACCTTTCAGAGTTCAAATCTGGTGTTGCAAGATGGTGGTAGTTTGGGCTTGAGCCTGGGGGAAATCCCGGTAGTAAGGAGAGTATTGACCATATGTATTAAAGAGAATAATTGATGGAGCAAGGTCACAGGATGGAAGGATATCAGAGCACCTTAAAAAACAGAGTGCCCAGTTTTGGACATCTCTTTTTTGTAAAAGATCAGAACAGATGAGAGAAGAACCCATGAATATGGACCCAGATGTCAACTAAGGTGGATTTTTTTTTTTTTTTTTTTTAGATTTAAGTAAAATTGGCTTACTTAAAAAAGTTCCCATTCCACACTGGGACTTCATTTGAAAGTTCAATGTCTACTCCAAGATTTTTGTTAATTCCTGGAAGTTCACTGTATGGTTTCTTCGGCTTTTGAGTTTCTGCTTCCACTAAATTCTTCATCTCACTTGTAATTCAGTTTCCATGTTCCTATTCCTTGGTTTCATGTTGAACCAGCTGTAGAACTCAGACCAGTCCCCTCTGCATCTTTTTTCCTATATTTCCGCCAAATCACTCACATAAGGCATTTGTGCATGTATCAGATATTACTGAAGTCTTCAGGGATTTTATATCCTTAGCAACACAAAACAACGTGAAGTCCAATAATAGAAATTTCTATTTTAAACATGCTTTCAGCTCGCCCATCGCTGGAACTCTCTCCCCAAGCTTCAACCTCCCACACCATCTCTCCTTACACTCCTCCCATTTCCTCTCCTCTTTGCCCTGTTCCAGTCTTCATATTCTTCTTCTTTTTTAAAATGCAGATCTGTTTAGTGATCTCTTTGTTTCACAATTTTATTACAAGCCAAGCTTTCTTCTTCCATACTCCAAGTGTTATATCAAGGTAGTTTCTTCAGTAAGGCATTTTTTTATCCCTGAGAGGAACTCTGGTATCAGCTGCTAAAACAATAATCTTTTCACCTCAGTGCTTAAAGATGGTTTAAATGTGGGAGGAGAGAACTTAAAGGGATTATGTCTGTTGCTTCTATTTTCTCAGCGAATATGAGATATGCTCTTCTGTTGAGGTGGGGATGGGTCTAGGAGAGGTCTGACAGCTAAGGTGAGGGTTTCTGTCAATAGAAATTTACTGGGTTTCTAAACTATGATAAAATACCATATTTACATAGAATGATTCCTTAAACTAAGTCCACAAAAGTGTAGAATTGATTCTCTTGCTGGAGATGGATGATTCAGTTTACTGAGTGCTCTGGTCAATATGAGAAAAGTAGAAAAAGCAGTGGAGAAGGAAAAAGTCAGCATAAGTAAACTAAAGTCAGGATACTGGAGATCACAGTCCTTGATAATCCTTTCTCTCCCCTAACACAGACTTGAATATGCACATGCTCAGCAGTTTCGGCACCACCCTGGGGCTAGATAGCTGTTCATCTTGCAGCTGAAAAAGGTTAAAGGAGTTGCATAGTTATTTGTTCTCCCATAACAAATGACCTCAAATGTAGTAATTTAAAACACAACAACTATTTATCTCTCAGTTTCTGCAGGTCAATCATTTGGGAGCAACTTAGCTGGGTGGTTCTGGCTCAGGATCATTCATGGTCTGTGTCATCTGAAAGCCAGACTGAGGCTGGAGGATCTGCTTCCAATCCCATTCACATGGTTGCTGGCAGGAAGCTTCAGTTCCTCACCACATGGGCCTCTCTACAGTGTTGCTCATGACACAGCCTCTAGCTGCTTTCAGAGCGAGTGATTGAAGAAAGAAAACCACCACAGTGAAAGCTAAAATGCCTTCTGTAACTTAATCTTAGGAGTGACATACCATCACTTCTGCAGTGTTCGGTTGGTCATAGATCATCTGTGGTACAGTATGGAAGGGGACTACATGAGGGTGTGAATACTAGGGGCAGAGATCACTGGGGATATTCTGGAGGCTGGTTACCACAGAAGTCTTTGCAAAAACATTGTGTGTGTGTGTGTGTGTGTGTGTGTGTGTGTGTGTGTCTCTGTGTGAGCTCTTACTTTAAAATGCCATGAAGGGAGTGTAGTTAGATAGTTAGTTGACTTCTGGATTTAATAATACTAGGACTGGTAAAATAACAAATAATTGGTGGTGGGGGGCACTAAAATATGTCTCTGGATTTTGTCATGTAGGGAAGATTTTTTAAAAGCTGCCATTTACCATCACCTTTATTTTATAAAAAGGAATTTTGACATAAGAAAGGGGAAAGGACATAATCTCCAAATAAAGGACAATCATTAAATTAAATAAATTTAGCTTTATTAAAAGCTCAATAACTTGCCTTTGCTTTTCATTTAACTGTGGACTGACAAAAATTTCATCCTATCTTGGTCCACAGACTGTCATTCAGGAACTACTGAGAACAGACATGGAATGTTCTAGTATCTTTAGTGATGAGTATGAGAATCATGTAGAAACACGTAACAAGGGCGCCTGGGTGGCTCAGTTGGTTGGGCGACTGCCTTCGGCTCAAGTCATGATCCTGGAGTCCCGGGATTGAGTCTCACATCGGGCTCCCTGCTTGGCAGGGAGTCTGCTTCTCCCTCTGACCCTCTTCCCTCTCGTGCTCTCTATCTCTCATTCTCTCTCTCTCAAATAAATAAAATCTTAAAAAAAAAAAAACACGTAACAATCCATTCAAAGTAAGTGCAAAAAGAAGAAGTTGAAATGGTTGCTACATAAAGATAGCAATTTTATAAAATTATGCTTGTGAGTTGGAAGGGAGCAACAGAACTGGCAAATATTTATCAGTTTTTGTTATTAATTTGTGTTCCTACCAATATTTAGATGTTTATTATTTAAGCTAATTAAAGATGAAATATAAAAAAAATTGACCACCATTGCAGCATATTTAAATGTACATGAAAGTAATACAAATGCATGGTGGTGTTTGAACTTTTAAAATATTTTCATATTTAGTATATTTTACATTCATTCATCTTTTTTCTAAATAATCACCTCTTCATTTTATAGGTATGCATTTCTTTATAACACACACAATGTTATTATTTGTGTCCCTTATTACAGAAGATGAACTATCTGGGGGCACTGACTGGCTCAGTTGGCAGAGCATTCTTGATCTCAGGGTTGTGGGTTCAAGCCCATGTTGGGTGTAGAGATTACTTAAAAATAAAATATATATAAAAAAGATGAAATATCTGACACTATCCATTAGAAGTGAACTTTGGATTGTTAGTTGTGGCCTCCAGAACTGATGGATTTGTAGACATATCCCATTTTCATTTGGTTTCATTTTTGACCTATGGCATAGTGTTTGCAAGGCTTGAAGGCATGGACTGAGGAAGGGATTAATGATTAGCTTGTTCTGGCATTGACTGGATCCCACTAGAATCATGCTCTTCTCATTTAGGTTGAGAATTAAACTTGAGCAATATTTAGGAAAATAGTGAAAAACTTTCTCTTCAATAAAATCTTACTGTAAACATTCATGAGTTCGTTTAAAACCTACACATTTTTCTTTTCTTTTTTTTTTTTAAAGATTTTATTTATTTATTTGACAGTGAGAGAGGGAACACAAGCAGGGGGGAGTGGGAGAGGGAGAAGCAGCCTTCCTTCCAAGCAGGGAGCCCGATGTGGGGCTCGATCCCAGAACCCTGAGATCATGACCTGAGCCAAAGGCAGACGCTTAACGACTGAGCCACCCAGGCACCCCTAAAACCTACACATTTTTCTCTTGATAATCTGGTAGAAACTACTGTTTTTTTTTTCAAATATACATGAACTCCATGTTATTACCAAGTTATATATATATTTTTAAAGTTTTAAAATGTTTTTTTAGCATTATTACTTTTATAAATTATGCTTTCAGTTTTGATTTTATAACCAAATTGGTTAACTAAGAAATTGATGTTCTGTTAGTGCTTCTATGACATTTTGCCAATTTTCAATTGGAATGCTTTGTTTACTTGAGGTATTTTTAAATGAAAGTAGTGAGCATTCGATTTTTTTGAATCTGTGGGTAGCTTTTTTGGTATAAGGACAATCCTGAAGTCATAGAGCTGCATAGAGTGAGACATTGGAACTCAGCTGTCAATGCTCTCCCTAATTTTTCTTCTTTTTTTTTTCTGGTTATAACTCTCATTATGCTAAATTCTGCAAACACTCAGACATGTCATGTTGTGGCATGTTGTGTCTAACTGAGCACATTTTTGCTACTCACTGGCATAATTTAGGGTAAATGTTAGGTGCCTGTATTTTTGCCGTGGGGGAACATATGTATCATTATTTGGAACTTCCAGGAGCAAGCTTAGGAAATTTTGATGACATTTTGTTATCTACCGACCATCAAACATGACTGCCCCTGCAAAGCTATGCCGACATGGTGGGGAGAGAATAAGAAGTCACAAAGGAGAAAGCACTTGAGGAAGAAGGAACCTTAGAGACAGATACATTATATTTTAGGGATGACAGTTAATTTTTAGAATGTTAACTGGTCATTACAGATTACGTGTCTTATATAGATAACAGGTTTGAGCCAGGCTAAGCCTCCTAATGAATGTGAAACTAGTACAAAATTTCTTTTTCACAGCCACATACAAGGTAGTGAGTACTATGACATGAGGCAAGGAGTTAACAAATCCTTTTTAAAAAAAAGATTTTATTTATTTATTTGAAAGAGAGAGAGAGAGAGCATAAACAGGGGGGAGAGGGAGAATCAGGCTCCCTGTGGAGCAGGAAAGCAGGGAGCAAGGACCCCGGGATCATGACCTGAACCAAAGGCAGATGCTTAACTGACTGAGCCACACAGGCGCCCCAACAAATCCTTTTTTTGACGATAATGTGTGCTCTGTTTTAGAGGTGATGTTAATTCACTGTTCTTAGTACAAATTATGTGCAAACCATCCAAACTATTCCAGGTTTTGCCAGATAAAAAACAGCCTCTTTTAAAGGATAACATCAAAGCCAGGACTTTCAGAGTGAGCCACTTAGCAGGCTGGTGAGTGCTATCCATGGAGCCTCAGAAGATGACCTTTCCCTTTTAGCATTGATGGACCAAAGAAAAGAGTAACCTTGGAACTCCAATCTAGAAATTGTCATGCATTGTTCTAATTATAAACCACAAAATTGCTCAATCATTTATATATAGAAAAGATCTTGAATAGTGGCTGTCAGCACTTTCCTTTAAAATCAAAGCACTGAGCAGGGAGCCCGATGTGGGACTCAATCCCAGGACTCCAGGATCATGACCTGAGCCGAAGGCAGTCGCCCAACGAACTGAGCCACCCAGGTGCCTGCTTCTCCCTCTGGCCCTCCTCTCTCTCTCTCTCTCTTTCTCTCTCTCATTCTCACTCTCTCAAAGTAAATAAATAAATCTTTAAAAAAAAATAAAAAAAAATAAAATCAAAGCACTACAGATAGAACAAGTTCTTATCTGACTTAAACTCACTGATAATTCCTGCATCATACCTTTTGAAGGTTGCTGGGGGTCACCAGTGGCTTGCTGGTGATTGATCTGGAAGCCTTGCTGAGTGGATTGTGGGTCTGGCAGTCATCATCATGGAAAGTGACCACCGGCACCTCACTCCCTCTAAGACTTGAAGTTAACTTTTATCGATTTCTCTTTCCATAAGAGTAAACCTCCCTTCTCCTGGAGATTAACATTTTGGGAAAAATAGGTAATCAGCGAGGATCTACTGAAATCTATAAAATAAATTTCCTGGTATAATAACACAGTCTCATTAGTATAATCTGTCACACTACATGCATTTTCTCTCTAACATCTACAACTCAAAGTATAATTCCCTTGTGAAAGAAATAAATACCAACTTCTTAGGCAGCCAATCTTTCAATCTTTTGTACCATTTCTACGTTTGAACTCATTTAACAGAATCAGAGGCTTCCGTTAAATCCATTAATGTAACATACAATTCACATTGTCATTTTCAGCATTTCTCTTGCACTGCAGTATAGTACAGTTAGATTTCAGGCTCCAGAGTCAGACTACTTGGGTCCAAATCCTGGCACCACCAGTGACCAACTGTGTGATTTGGATGAATTACATAACCTTTCTGGGCTTCAGTTTTCTCAGTTGTGAAATGGGAATTGTAACGGTACTTACTATGCAGCATTGTTAGAAGAACTAAATGAGATAATACATTCCACAAACATAAACGTATTCACACTAGCTTAAATAAGTAAGGTTTTCTTTTCTTTCTTTTCTTTTCTTAGTAGTAAAGCTACAGGAGCAATCCCACAGATACCCAGTGACAGCTGGGATATATGTGACCAGAGCTGGAGAGTGAGCAGCCTCTGAGGCTTCTCCCTCCATCTCCCACAGGCTTGCTAGCTTCCCTCTGTATGTGGGCTCTATTTTCTGCAGACCAGCGTTCTGGGCTTATCACTTGCCTATATCCAGAAATTCTTTCCTCCAAATCCATACAATTTATTAGATGAAGCACTCTTATCACCTGACTTCTGCTCCCAAGTTTCCAGATGAGAAGTCCAATCAGCTGGGGCTGGAAGGGATGAAGCCTTGCGATAAGAATGGTGGCTATTTCCAAAGGCTGAGAGCAGCTTGGGGTCTCTAAGGAGGTGGTGTAATGGTGGGGGCGGGGTGGTGATAATTGGCAGCGCTAGGATATTCATAGTGACAATGTTCCAGGGTGCCTAAAGGCTCCTTGTTTTGAGTATGAATTACTTATTTGAAAAATCTTTTTATGGAAGATAATATACCTATAGAAAAGGACACTAACATAAGTGTACAATGTGATGAATTTTGACAAACTGATAACCAGTGTAATCAGCATGCAGCTCAAGAAACAGAGTGTGACCAGCACGTATGTAGCCCCTTTTGCTCCCCTCTGGTCACTGCTCCTTACAGGTAGATTAGTTTTGCCAGTTTTGATACTTTGTACAAATGGAATCATAGCCTATGTACTTTTTCATGTCTGGCTTCTTTTGCTTAACATTGTTTGTGAGACAAATAATACATTATATGTTAAAAAAAAAAGAAGATAGCAGGAGGAGAAGAATGAAGGGGGGAAATCGGAGGGGGAGACGAACCATGAGAGACGATGGACTCTGAAAAACAAACTGAGGGTTCTAGAGGGGAGGGGGGGGGGGGGATGGGTTAGCCTGGTGATGGGTATTAAACAGGGCACGTTCTGCATGGAGCACTGGGTGATATATGCAAACATTGAATCATGGAACACTACATCAAAAACTAATGATGTAATGTATGGTGATTAACATAATAATTAAAAAAATCCCACCTTTTGCACTGAAAAAAAGAAAAAACTCAACATGCAAATACCACACAACCTAGCAATTGAACTCTGAATGTTTTTCCTAAAGAAATGAAGAGAAAAAAAAAAACTGTGCACAAATCTTTTTTTTTAAAAGATTTTATTTATTTATTTGACAGAGACAGCGAGAGAGAGAGAGAGAGAGAGAGAGAGAGAGAGAGAGAGAGAGAGAAAGTGCACAAGCAGGGGGAGTTGGAGAGGGAGAAGCAGGCTTCCCTCTTAGCAGGGAGTCCGATGTGGGGCTCGATCCCAGGACCCTGGGATCATCACCTGAGCTGAAGGCCGACACTTAACGACTGAGCCACCCAGGTGCCCCAAACTGTGCACAAATCTTAAAAAAAAAAAAAATTGTTTATGAGATTCATCAGTATTGTATATATTTGTAGGGCATTCTCTTTGCTGTAAAGTATTCATTTGGGTGAATACACTACTTTGTTGATCTATTCTATCACTGATGGACATGTAGGTTGTTTTCTGTTTCTATTCCTCATGATGTTGTTGTGAATTTGTTTTGTTGACCAGGCACATATTACTACTGATTACTTTTACCACCACAGGCTCGTGCAGGGTGTGAATTATTTTCCATCACATAGAATTGAATCGAGGGTCTCTTATGGGTGAATATTGTTATGCTTTTTATCTGGTGATTTTTTAAAATTATTATTATTATGTTAATCACCATACATTACATCATTAGTTTTTGATGTAGTGTTCCATGATTCAATGTTTGCATATATCACCCAGTGCTCCATGCAGAACGTGCCCTGTTTAATACCCATCACCAGGCTAACCCATCCCCCCACCCCCTCCCCTCTAGAACCCTGTTTGTTTTTCAGAGTCCATTGTCTCTCATGGTTCATCTCCCCCTCCAATTTACCCCCCTTCATTCTTCCCCTCCTGCTATCTTCTTCTTTTTTTTTTTTCAACATATAATGTATTATTTGTTTCAGAGGTACAGGTCTGTGATTCAACAGTCTTGCACAATTCACAGTACTCAACATAGCACATACCCTCCCCAATGTCTATCACCCAGCCACCCCATCCCTCCCACCCCCCACCACTCCAGCAATTTCTTATCTTTTTATGTTATGAGTTTCATAGTGTGAGGGTAGGGTTATGTTTTAAACATTCCGCCTACATGCAAAAAACCCTGCATATATTTTGAAAGGGTGGTCAACTATTGATGGAATGAATGAATAAACAAGTAAACAGTGGTGTATGCCTTTTCCTTTTCTGAAAACATGCCCTATTTTTAGGAGAGGCTCTAATTGCTGTATTTAGACAAGGCTGACCTGCTGCTTAGCCAAAGCTGATTGATTGAGGGGTCAGCACAGGACCCAGGCCAGGACAATTGTGTCTCTTTTCCAGGAATTTAAAATCTGGAACGAAAAGAGGGAGACTGGGCACTGCAGAGTCCCTATGACTGTGCTCTAGAGAGAAGACCCATAGGCTCCTGCTGTTTGGTACCAAAGGCACACTGGGTTCCTTGAAGCATATAAATATCTGCATACATGACAGTTAAATAACAATGCAAAACTATTTGATTGAGTTCCAAAATGCAAAGTAGAGACAATAAATGCTGTAAAAGGTCACAATATGGAGAGATCAGTGACGACTAGCGTGACTGCATATCCTATTGTCTTTGCTTTCTTTTTTCAGGACAGCCACTGTGAATGTGATTGTATTTCCAAGCCAGAAACTGCGGAGTTAAGGCAACAGAACTTGGATCAGGGAACCAAGTGTGGGACTGCAGAGAAGAGGTGGTGGAGAGCCTGTAGGTGAAATTGTTAAGTCTTAGAAATTGATTTAACATGAGGGTCAAGAAAGAAATCAAGATGGTGCCAGGTTTTGAGTTTTTATGTTAGGAAAGATAATGGTGACACCATTACAAATAAGGACATTTGAGGAGAGCAAAGGGGAGGGAGTAAAGATGAGTTCAGTGTGGGATATATTAAGTTTAAAGTCCTGGTGAGACAATCAGATTGTTCTGGTCAAGAATACTGGCTTTGGAGTCCAGAGGACTTGGAGTTCCATTTACACTTTGCATCCCACTCTGTGATCTTTGGCATCTTACTTATTTGGCTTAAGTCTCAGCTCCCCATCTATACATTGATAAGGGTTAAAATGAGACAATGCCAGTAAAGGGTTTAGCTTATTGCTTGGCAATTAAGTATTCATAAAACATGTATTAATAGGATGATGATGATGATGGTGTGCTGATGTCTGGAATGCAGCTCGAAGACAGGGACCAGAGTGCTGTAGGGAGGAATCTGCTTAGAGGTACATGCACATGATGCAAGGGAGCTGTTGACATTGGCAACAAA